TTTCAAAATGTGGACAGGACTGGCTCGTGCCCCCAGATCGAACCGGCGGACAAGTCCTCGGCCCCCAGGGCCAACCGTCCACGTTTGGCCTCGGATGTACTATGTATCCAAGGGCGATGCCAGAATGCCAGCCGACTCCTGCGTGCGTCCCTCCTTGCAGCCCTCGACTCCCATCTCTACCCCGTCGCATTTGCGCGAAGTCCAGCAGCCCGCTGTTAACCGAGAAGCGCACACCGAGAGCGATCCGGGCTTCGGAGATGCCGCCAGCAACGGAGCAGAATCCAACGCATCCACCGACGGCGAGCGTGCAGCTGCGTGGCGCCGTGACAGTTTGCCGAAGGTGAAGTTATTCATAGCCCCTCGAACCAGTCGTCTATTCTGTGCACCCAGAGCCAACCGTCCACATTTTGAAAGAGGCAATCCATAATACCATGATCAAAATGTGGACGAGTCTGTCTCGCGCACCCAGACCGACCGGCAAAAACAGAAAATGCTTTCCCTCAGGGCCAACTCTTACTTCCAGGTGGCACGGCCAGTAGGTCAGGCCGACCTTCGAAACTTCACATTCTACAAGCCTATTTTCCAACATATTCACGTGCTTCCCTCGTCGACTACGCGTACCAATCATCAGAACGATTGTCTTTTTGAATTCACAGGCAAGGAACGCAATGACGGACACTGAGCGATCGGGGCTTCGAAAACAAACAGCAGCCCTTCGCCCCCGTCCTCTCGGCTGCACCGTGGTCCATTCCGAGCAGGAGGGCAAGGTCCAAACCGTCCGACAGGACAACTTGCTGGGCACCTCTTTCTTCTTCAAGCTCAGCGTGCCCGCTCTGCACCACCGTGACACCAGGAACGGGCCGCAAGCGCTTCGCAGCAGCCATGGGCCATGGGATAGAGGTCAGACACCTCACGCCCCATCGGAACTACGGATCCTATCCGGAATGGCCGACCGCAGCCCCTCTTCTCCACGGCCAGCTTCACCTGGAAGAAGTGATGGCGGAGGGGAGACCATGCAAACCGTACTTGGATCTGGAAAGGGACGATGGGCTGCCGCCCGGGGAGGATCTCTCGACGGTCATCGCCCGCATCCGGGAGGGGGTCAAGGAGGTGTTCGACCAGGACTACGACGTGCAACTGGCCGACGATGACTTCAACTGGTTGCATTGCGATTACGGTCCAAAGGGCAAGTTCTCCCTCCATCTCATCGTATCGACTCACGGCCCGCAATTCGTCTATCGGTCGAACCTAGTGCCGCCTGCTGATCCTCAGGGGGCCGGCCATCTCGCAAGGCGCCTGGCAAAGATCCTGGCCGCTCACTTGGCCGAGCTCATCGACCAGAGCGTGTTCACGCGGAACCGGGGGATGCGTCTGCCATTCTGCTCGAAACCAAAGACACCGGGCAACCCGCTCATCCCGATAGACCCGAACAAGCCTTTGGCGGACTCCGTCATTACGTGGATCGACGAGTAAGCCTGCACCTTCGGATTGGCATACAACCGACGATTGTATCAGAGCGATGGCGGCGTTCAGCTTGCGCGTCTCCGTCTCATCGTCGTTCCGGGACCGTGGATTCACACTCGCCTTCCTCCCTGTAGGACACGTGCTTCATCCCCGTGCCAATCTTGGTCCCGGATGCGGTCCGGGAGAACCGTCCACGGCGCACGCCTGCAGATATGACGTACGTCAACCCACAAGTGGCGTCGAGCTTTCACGTTCAGCGCTGCTTGGAACTCCTTCAAGAGAGGTTGCACCCTACCGCTTACAAAAGGGGTTCCTCCGCAGCGCTGAGCTTCAGCTGGACGGACAGGCTCGGAGAGCCTTGCTACACGAATCACATCCACTCGGGGGACCGAGACATTATCTGCATCATCGACGAGCCTGGGAACGCTGTGCTGGCGAAGTGCTGCAGCGAGCGCATCGATCCGGGCACGGGTGTCTGCTGCAAGGACCAAAAGGCCTTCTACCTGGGGCCCCTCCATGTCGACGTGGAGAGCTGGCGGGCCGGCGCAGTGGAGATCGACATGCGGTTCCTAGAGCGGGATGCTCTTTCGGCGGCCGACATGGACTTGTGCCTCATCAAGGCCGGTGTGAAGCCGCTGACTGACAAGATGTCCTTGAACGTCATCCTCAACAGGTGAGTGTCTGGGCGAGGCCCGTCGGGAACCCTTCTTTCCGAGAAACAACGCATTCCGTTTGCACTAAGATGCGATTCTTCGTGTCACTTTCAAATTGTGGACGGTGTGAAGCGGTTCCCAATACCTGGACTGTTGGTCCCGTGTTTGTACGGACAGAAATTATCCACAGTGTGACTTTGAGTTCACAGTCTCGTCCACATTCTGACTGTGACATTATGGTTTGCCTCTTTCAAAATGTGGACGGTTGGCTCTGGGGTGCGGAAGATAGTCTCGTCCACATTCTGACTGTGACATTATGGTTTGCCCCTTTCAAAATGTGGACGGTTGGCTCTGGGTGCGGACAGCACTCTCGTCCACATTCTGACTGTGACATTATGGTTTGCCTCTTTCAAAATGTGGACGGTTGGCTCTGGGGTGCCGAAGACAGTAGCGTCCACATTTGACTGTGACATTATGGTTTACCCCATTCAAAATGTGGACGGTTGCCTCTGGGTGCGGACAACAGACTCGTCCACATTCTGACTGTGACATTATGGTTTGCCTCTTTCAAAATGTGGACGGTTGGCTCTGGATGCGGAGGACCTCGCGCACCGCGTTCTGGTGCCGAGCCCAATCGTGTCCGTATCTTGAACGACCCCTCGTCCACATTTCGAGGAGTCATTCCAGCACGCCGCGTGCGAATTGTGGCCGGCTGATCGTGTAGGCTTAGGCAGTCTTGTATACATCTTGAAAAGATAATTGTGAATCCAGCAGGTCAGAGGTGAGTCGTGGCCGGTCATGAGTGCCTAAGACAGTCTCGTCCACATTCTGACTGTGACACCATGGATTGCCTCTTACAAAACCTGGACGGTTGGCGCTGAGTGCGAAGGACATTCCTGTCCACATTTTGAAAGAGGCAATCCATAATATCATATACAAAATGTGGACCGTTGGTCCTGGGGCCGTAGGATTGTCTGTATACATTTCAAACTAGGCAAACCATGTTGCTCACGTCCAAGATGTTGTCGCTTGCAAGACTTTGTCAATTTTGGAGTCGATGCATTCAGGTTCTCGGTCTCATCGGACTTCATTTCCGTCCTGCAGGTGGCAGGCCGGGAAATTGAAGACCCTCCTTCTGAAGAGCCCTATGGGCACCGGCAAGTCGACTCTCCTCCGAGCGTTGATGTCGGAACAGCCTCGAACACGGACGGCCCTCATGATCACGTATCGGCAGACGCAGGCCAGTGACGCGCATGGCAAGAATGCCGACTTCTTCCAGTATGACCATCTTGTCAGGCCGTGTCGTCGATGACAGCATGTTTATCGAGGCATTGGCAGACAGAGACCGCTTCCCCCGTGTGATCTGCTAGGTCGACAGCGTTCCCCGACTTCTGGTTGGGGGGAGGCTCGTCACGTCATTCGATCTCATCAAAGTTCTGGACGAGAGCGAATCGATCTTTTCGCACCTGTCCGCCGCCACCCTCAAAACTAGGCGCAAGACGATGAGCTTCATGGTTCAGCTCTTCCAAGAGGCTAAGAAGATCGTCGCCATTGACGGTCACTTGGGTCAGCGCCCTTACGACTTATTGTCCATGCACCGGATCGCATGCGGACCCCGCAGCTCTATCAGAGTGTAGCTAATGATATCTGGACATATAAACGAGCACCTCCCAGCCCGACCGCTCTGCTTCGAGTTGGTCACCGGTAACGAGGGTCTGGACGTCTAGACTGAAGCGATCTGCGGGGTTCTCTAAGTGGCGAGAATTACTTCGTCGTCAGCATGTCGTCGGAGGCAGCCTATCGGCTGGCAGACACAATTTCGGGGACCCGGTTGGTGCCGGAGTCTGAGGTTCCGATGGTGACAAGACATTCGGCGGGAGATGTGAAGAAGGCGCTGGAGAACGTTCATGTTGCGTGGCTGAGACGCGTCGGCATCATCAGCCCGAGTGTCGAGGAGGGGGTAGACTTCAACCGGGAGTGGTTCGACTGTACCTTCATCTATATGTGCCCCTTCAGTACGACTCCACGCGGCCTTGATCAGATGAAGGGCCACGTCCGATACGTGCGAGAGCCGACTGTTTTGTGCTTCGTGCACTCGCGGATGGTTCTATCGACCGTTTCGACCGGATGCTTTTCTGACGTGGACGAAGCATCCGGTGAGGATCAAGCCAACCTCTTCGAACGCTATTATGGTGCTCGTCGCGCCTATGCAGTGAATCTATCCGTCGAACCGTCCTAAGCTCGAGCCGTATCGCTCACTGGCTTCCTCGAAAATTTCCAGGATCGTCCGCATCTCATTAGTCGAAACCGGTCTGCGTGCAGATGTCGAAGAGGAGCTGTACTCTACGGGAATGGCACCCAAGCGGGCTGCCTTCAGCTGGCTGGGGGTCGAAGAGACCTACCAATTCTTCCGCCGGGTGGATGGCAAGCTGGACAATATTGTGGCAGGAAAGACTCGTCACAGAGGGGATGCAGGGGAGCCGGAATACATCCCTGTCGAGTTCGCGGCGGGGCGGATCCGCCAGAGAGAGGAAGGAGGGGTGTCAGAAGTCGTCCCTGCCGAGGACGCGGTGATCAGGATGTTCGCTCACAATGAGGCCGAGCAAGGCAGATATTTTGCTCTTGGCACATAATTCTAATTCGTTGCTTAATCAAACAAGAACGCACTTGATTCCTTGTTCCAATGCCCATTCTATAGCACTTCCAATCACTTGTGTGCTGTCGTATATCCTTGCCGAGCTGCTTTCTGCTTCATATAGCTCCCCTGAGCAACGTCGGTCTCTACACATATTCAGAAAGAGCCCGCGAATTAGCCTTGCCCCTCAGCATTTCTCTCGACCAATTTGAGGGTTTGCACATCGTTACTTTCTCTGCCCACCAAGAAATGCAATCTGGGATCTTATCAAGCCTAACTGCAAAAGGGAGGACTGCTTACAATAAAGAGTGTGAAGGAGTGATAACCAGGGGAATGCTTGCATTGTCCAAAAAGGTACGAGTATCGCGGGGTTGCAATTGATTTCTGATCGTCCATATCCTCAAGCATTGGGCACAAACGGGGTCATGTTTAAGGGACATTGCAAAAAAGGGGCAAATAATGCGCTATCCTTCGAGGGGGTGCACGCTGGCGAATACGGACTTTTTGTGTGAAGTAGAGACATTGTCTAGCTGGGGACCACCTACAGGCCATATGTTGTGGGGTGAAGGGCACCCAACTCTCGAGCGGGGTGCATATTATGCGTGCGTGAAGATGGGGTTTTACCGAAAAAGGAGTGTTTTTCGGTGTTTTTTTTAAAACCGCAACACATTTTCAGGGCCCGGTTATATGAAGTGCCGAAACTTAACATGCGTAACTTCCATGACCGGTGCAACCTTTTTTGAGTCTCTATTAGTATCAAATTCAAGTTTGTTCGCCACCACGGACGTTCGGAAGGCATAGGTATCTGCAAGCCTAGCGAGGCCTTTTCGTGGGTTGTGCGTTTGATGCGTTGGACCTCCATCAACCGACGTCCGGTGGACGATTCAACCACATCGAGCAGACGCTGACACTGTCGAGACCGTGTGAAGATGAAAACGTGCATGCTCAACAGCCTTGCCACGGGTGAATTTGCGTATTAGGGTTTTGGAGGCGAGTTTGGTTACCAAACTTATTGACCCGGGTAGTTGTCAAGGCTTGGAGTGTTTTAGAATTATCAGCGCTGCCTAAATCAGTCATGCAATACTTGTCGAGCTGATTGGTAAACTCTAATTTGAGAGAACGTTCATAATAGCTAATGGGCGGGCATGGGGTACAAAACTACACCAACTTGCGACCATTGATGAGGATATTTAGATGTCAAATGTCACAACACCTGCGGCGCATACAATACTGCCAGAGCTGAGGTGAACAACGTAAGTGATCCTCCACGGTTTCAACTTTGTTGCTATAGCGAATGTTCCAAATCGTTGTTCAAAGCCCATTTTCCCCTGAATTTTCATGTATCACATACATGTCATGCCTTCCTCCATATTCCATACTACATCTTGCGTATGTCTTCCAGGTACTACATTCTTCAAGCTACCGTTGTTTAAAGACATTCTACCATTCTCTGCTCTGCGTCCAAAATATAATCGTGCAAAATCCGTCACACATGGGAACCGCAATACACCACCATTGCAAGGCTTAACAAATCGGTCTACATCAATCTGGTGACAACACACAGTAAGTCCTTCCTACACTTAAGAAGACATGCATCGAAAGAAGCAACTAGTAACAACGCAACAACAACGTGGCCCGAGAAAGCCTCCCCACCAGATGTCATCGAGAAGCACTCAGGGTGCGCGATTACTCAGATTGCCCAATTGTCTGATGAGGTTTGCCAAGTACTGGTGAGCCCCAAAACGTCAAGTAATCCATTAACGTCCGGTATGGATATTGGTAAAATTTTGCATTACCGTCAAGTTCTTTGGGGGCTCCGGACCGCCTCTTTGATACCCACTCATAGTGCCAACGGCGGAAGAGCCTCCTGTAGTGGGAGGAGCGTCATAGGAATCCGCTGAGCCCGTCAACGAAGTGGTTGCTGCAGGACCCTGGGCGACCGGTGGATCCGTGTTCACATGGCGACCACTGGTGGGGAAGAAGACCTTTTCTGCGGAGGGCGGCTGCAATCTTGTAATACTTATCAGTTGCTCAATGCGCTGATGGACCTGCGGTAGACATGGAAAGATGCAACCGTCACTCAGCCGATCTGCCGAGATCTTACCTCCGGATTAAGGAGGAAAGGTGTCGTTCTGATATGCTATTTCCGGCGCATACTGTCTTCAAGATACCTTTCAGCCCTTGGGAAATTCTTGCTGTTTCCCAAGTAATGAGCGGTCGTTACAAGAGCTCAATGCCGAAGTTAGCCTTCTCAAATTTGAGCACGGTTGTTAAGCTTAAATAAAAAGCAGAAGACAAGAACACAAGCATCAGTATATTTGATGTCAGTACTGCTTGTCTATGTAGATCAGTGATCAACAGCATGTCTTCTTGAGATCCTAGCCCTTTTTTTTGAGGACTAGAACCTGGCCCAGATTGATGGACTTGTATCTAAGGTATCATGTCTGCAACACCACTCAAATCACCTTCTCTGAACTTTAATTGTGTTGCATAGAATTAGCTTCGTGGGAGTGTTGGCAAATTGTGATTCGTATTGAACTGGATGAAAAGAGGGAGCAAGATGGGAAAAGGGGAGAACGCAAGAATGAAAGTGCGGATCAAGCAATCTTAACAACAGAAATTGTGTTGACGCGCACCTGGGCAGCTAGAGGACGTGCGGTAGGTTCATGCTGGTTCATGCATTCAACGGCCAGCTGAATGATTCCAATGGCCTGTTGAGGATGAAAGTCATTCCCCAAGGCCGGGTCCACCAGAGCCAGAGGCTGGTGCTTGTTCTCAACGACCTGTGAACGTTGCAGAGCAGCCTGCTTCAGTGCTACATGGACCAACGCTGGCTTGCAAATCAAGAGATTGATACAGTTGGCCATGTGTCACACTTCGTATAAGTACCATTTCTAAATAACATTACAAGAGGTCCTGAAGGTCTATGCAAAGGACAATGTAGACAAGCCGCAGGATGCATTTGCACGTTCTTCATCAAACGTTCCATTCTATGAGCAGGCTGGCAAGGACAGGAAGATTCTGATAATTTCGTAATTCCTCATCCATCCGAGCAAAGGACACGTACAAAACAAGCACAAAAGGCATAAAATAAATATCTAGATCGAGTTGCAACGCACCCAGTTGCGCAGGGTTACCGAATCATTCCCCATTTGGAAGGTACAAGGACGTCCAGTGACCAACTCGGACAGAAGCACGCCGAGGCTGTAGATGTCGGTATACCTACTAACCTGAGAGAGGACACCATCACATGCGTTGCAGACACAAGGAAGCAGTGACAACAAGTATAGATACAATTTTGAACGCAAGACTTAGCCTGAACCCCTTTTCAACAACCAGGTTCTTGAAGCCTGCCAAATGAAAAAACATCGGAGAGCGAGGCTCGATCTGATGACTGGGATCATACTGGGAGAGAAAGTATAAAGACCCGACCAATAGGTACCCGGAAGTGAACTTACCTGTCCAGACTGAAGGTACTCGAGCGCAATGTAGCCTGAACATTGGAAATAAAACGCTTTCAGCCCACAGGAGCAGACTGGAGCAAAGATAAGGATTGAGAAGGACCGAGAGATTCACCCTCTCTAAGCAGGAATGCTGCGACAATGGGATTTTTGACTACATATATTTAAATCAAAGTTGGTGGGCAATGCTCGACCGCGCACACATTGCAGAAGTACAGGAAGTCCTGACGTTTGCGTGTCCTTCGTCTCTTTTGAGATTCTCTGGTGCACTGGATTTAAAATTGGCCAGGCGAAACAGGGTTGCTTTGGTTTCTGGTCACCACATTGTGGTATCTTTCAGAAGGACCACTTGTCCCTAAGTAGTGCGCCCAATGCAGCGAGAACATTGTAGACAGAACTTGAAGCTCGCACTCTGAAAGGAATCCTTACCCCTGGTACCCAAAACGCGAGTCCGAGCTGACATGGCACCATCTTCAAACTTGGCCACCCCAAAATCACTCAGCTACAAGCAGAACAAAAAAGTGCCAATTGTCTGCATGTGCGTACTCAAATCGATAAACACCGTTTAGCCAGAGCTTGTCGGTTGATTGTCCACTGCTGAAGTATTATTATTGAATGTACTGCCAAATGACTAGCAGGCCCAGGAAATTTTTGAATCCATGAACAAACACACTTTTCTTTTATGAACCTTCTGAACATATTGCCAGGCTTGACAAATAACTTCCAAGAGCGTATCAGGAACCGTAATTTTGACAACAAGTACCGCACAATCTCAGACTTGAGCACCAGGTCCCGCAATGGAGCACCCACAGAAGACTTGGATCACGTGCTGTTTAGAATCAATTCAGAATCTGACGTTGGAGCATTCTCACCTTGGCAGTAAGTCTGTCCACGTCGGCAAAAAGGACATTCGCGCTCTTGATGTCCCTGGAGTTGGCTCACAAGAGTCGATGTCAGGTGGTCTACGTGGCAATGCTAGAACTGATATCGCTACTGATGCTGGATCACCACAACATTCTCATTTTGGTTCTGGCAAGGCCAACAAACTGCTGGGTAGTCCAGCGAGTCACAAAATATGTGATCGGGAATATTTGATGGGCAATAAGCAACTTTTTAAGACAGTTGATCAATCTCACCAACCACGTAAAGACCCGCTACAGATTGTAGCCTCCGAATTCTGAATCATCGCACTAGCAACTCTTGCGAGTTTGCTTTCTTCGACAAGCACGTAGGTAGCTCAGCTTTTGGAGATCGATTGGTGCCCGTCCTTCACTTATGCCGTGGCTTGGTACAAGTATATGTTCTAATTATTTGACAAACCGCTCAGCCGATGACTTGAAGACCTCTTACGTGTATGGCAACCCACTTTCTCCTCCTTTTTCAACAGAGGAGACATCATAGCATTTTCTTGAAGTTCAGACTTGATTGATTCACCTGTGCATAATAGGGGGTTCAATGCCGTCGTGCAGATACTCCAGGCCAATTGTGACGTAGAGTGCTGTTCGCAGGCGCTTGGACCAGTCAAATCTTTCAGGGCCTGCAGTAGTCAGCAGCACGCACCCTTCACAACGTGCGAGCGACTCATGGAACGGTGGGCGACATAACACAAAGAAAGTGGGGTATGGGATTGAAGTATCAAGCATCAGATTTTACTACTTGTTGTCCATTTCAATGTTAGGAAACTCATCCAATAAGCACCCAACGACCATCAAGCCTTACCATGGAGTGCTTGAAACAGATTCCCCCCCTTGCAAAACTCAAGGACAATAATCCGTTCTGTTCCCGCTATGGCGTACCCAAGCATGGACACGAGGTACTTGTGGCGCAAACTGCTCATGATAGCCATCTCAGTGTAAAAGCTTTCGTTGTTGGGCCCCTGCAACAGAATACTCTTGCGTTCCAATTTCTAAGCGCCGGTGATGATTTTGATTGATGAATTTTTCACTTTCAGGAAAGAGGTCATCTGAAAATGTCATATATCTCCTGCCGTCTAAAAGGGAGGTTTTGCCCTTATTGGGAGGTTTTGCCCTTACGGACGACGCCCTATTCTCCGATTATTATATTATCGTATATGGAGGGCTATCGCTACTCCAATAATCATGGATTTCAAAGAGCTAGCCCTACACCGTTTCCAGGCTTTGAGATGCATGAACAGCTCGAGTGTTCCTCACGTCCACCAGTTTCTAGACAAACATGGCATCAAAGACATTAATGAAGATTTAGTAGAATCTGACTGCAAACAACCGCTTTTAATTTGCCGCTTATTACACTGGCGGCCGACTGTCTTGATTGTTTACCTTTTTTCCTTGTCATTATGGCTTTCGTAAATAACACACAAAATGGTTCACACGCTGTGTTGAATTCTTATTTGAAGCTTTCTTATTCAGAGCGGTGTTTGTGGGCTCTGTATACCGCTCACGCACTGTAGCAATGAGGCCTCGATTGACCAGGAAAGTTTCATGAGTTTTCTAGGATAAAGAGGGGCGATCTATTCAAATATCTTGACACACAAGAAAAGGCTCCATTTTCAAAGTTGCGTGCTCACATTTACAGGGTCGGACTGCAAAACCTTGACCGCCATAGATGTGCCATCCACCTGTGTTCCTTTGTAAACTGCACCAGGGCGGGGGGTGGGGCATTCGTTTCTGCGTTCTGGAAGGTCTTTAAAAATGGCTAGCATTGCAGTTTGCGATTTGGTAGAACCTACATGCGGCTGTAGAGAACAAGCTTTAGGCAGCAGCTGAGACAAGAGCACGCGATGAGGCGCAGCCCGAAATACTCGATTTGCAGATATTTATGTCAAGAATTGGAAACTCAGGAAAGCTATCAAGCTCCAATGTTAATGAGAGCCATTTTTCTAGCCAGAACCACAAAGCTTTCGATCCAGACAGATGACTCTTCTTACATCGATCATATGTTGCCCAAGAGGCTCGGGAAATATGATTAGACAGCTGCAATTCCACTTCGATTCATTGCATCCTTACCTTTTGAAAAGCCTCCTTGGCCAACAAGGTTCGACATACTGAACCCATTTGTTGCGGACAGCACCTCCTCATAAGGATAAATTCTGCTTTTGCTATCTCTGGCAGAGCTTGCAAATGATGTGCTGCTTCCACCTGATGTTGGTAGGAGGATATCAGCCTGAGGATTGGTGGAATCAAGAAAGTGCTTGAGACCTGAAAAGGATATGTCTCGACGGCAAAGGGTGTGAAAAATGGATGCCAAGGTGACAGACTGGAAGACAAATAGAAAAAGAGCTGAAACCATGTTGTCAAAAGACTCTTTCCTGGATGGCTGTGTCCACACCATCCTTGGAAGCCCAGTTGACAAATGATAAAGTAAACACAGCAGCCACTCCTGAATTGCCCCAGTTATTGCTGATCAGTTCCCTATTTATTGCTGATCCTGAGGGAAGTCATGCAATCAATAGATTTTGCTTTGAGACATTGATGGTTGAGGAACATGATCTCTGCAAGATCAGAGGTGGACGCAATACCAAGTCATGGCAGGGCCAAGCTCATTACTTCTCTTGACCATTTAAGCATTTGCAACAGCTGGAGTTTGATTGGACTTTGATTATGCTACAGCTTACCAGCCTGCTTAGTTGGAGCAGCAGGGTGGTGCGGCACTGCAGCCTCTTTGGGTGCTTCATGGGTTGGCAGGTCATTGGAACGCTCCTTTTTCCGCCTTTGGTTTTTGAAAAGGCAACAGAGGACAATGCCGATAATTGCAGTGGTGACAACCGCCGCACCAGCCACACAACCCACAATTATGCCAACTTTGGATCCACTGGAGCCTGCATATACGATTACTGGAGGAGGAGGAGCAGACGCAGGCGGGCGAATAGGGGGTGCAGGCGTTGCGGCAGGGGGCGTAGGCGTGATGGCCGGGGTCGTAGGTGTAGCACAACTGCTCACAGTGTCGACGAGGTAGTCATTGCAGCACGACCCTATAGGGCTGGAACTTGGACAAGAGCAAGTGCCGACCACATTGGCATATGGTCCAACAGTACATGTGCTAGTATCTGGTTGGCAGCAGGCGCCGTACGGGCTGGGGCTGCTGCAGGTTGAGTAGTACGTGGAGGAGGAGCCCGGGCCCGGTGCTTGGCATAGAGGGCCACTGGAACCGGCGGGACAGAAGTAGTACTGTGAGAAGCTGGTGCAACAGGAGAAAACGGGCAGGCTGTCTGGGCAGGGCACCCCTCCGAGGTTGCAGCTCTTCTTGAGCACAATGCCCAAGCAAGTCGATCCTGATGTAGAGCAGCATCCGGTGTAGAGATTCTGGGGGCAATACCCCGAAGGAGCACTCGTGCAGGTGTACGTAGTGACCAGTTCCCGGCCTTGGATGTGGTGTGCCGACATAAACCCTGCAAGGAGCAAACCGAAAAGACATCAAAACACTGCTATCAAATGGAAAAGCTTGTAGCAAGGACTTTGGAAGCCCAGGTTGCTGCATTCAGCCTCCAGAGTTCCTTACAAACTCATGCTGTAGGCATCTCAAGCGTTTGCAATCGCAGGCGTTTTTTTGGTGCATATCGTACTTTCTGTTCCGACCTTGTCCCCCGTTCCCAATAACAGATCCTTCAAAGTGCTGATGGGTGATGGAAAAGTGTACCAATCGCAGAGCAACTAGCTGATGGCCTAGGTACAACAAATTATGGTGCCCGCATTTGTTCGCAGACCCCTGGAGCCCTACTTCTGCAGAGGACGGAGAGAGGTACCGAGCCACAAGCGTGCCATTTGACTTCAAAGCCTTGTTATTTAATATGTGGTGATTACATATTGACAACATGAGGACCTTCTCAGTTCAAGTGTGAACCAATCATAGACTCACATCATCCAGCAGGTGCATTGTATTGTAATGCCAGCTGAGTGCATTGCATCTGGGAAAGAAGCAAAGCATGTCACTAACTAAGCTTCTGATGAGTAGGAGCAATAGCTAGCAGGTTCTACTGGGACAAGATGCTTAAAGGTGTGGTTCTCTGATTATAGTTTTCCACCCACCGTGCTCACAGTGACTGTCGCAATCTGGAGAACTCAGAGTACCTTAGCACACAAAAAAGCCCGACTTACCTGTTAGGTTGAGGACAGTCTGGCCTGCGACGCCCTCCTGGAACACTCTGTCCCCAACCGGAGAATGCCCCAGATCAGATTGCGCCTGGCAGAATCCACTCTGGCACACTGCTGCGCGGCAATAAATGTTTCTTTCACAAAAGGCACAAGTGGAGGCTCCTCCATCAGACCCTTGTGTGTATGATGCAGCCGGCCATGGCAGGCTAGTGAACAGTTAGGATCTTCTCAGCCTAAGCTAAATCGCTCAAGAAATAGCAGACCAGATAGACTCCTTCGTAAAGATCCTTCATGGTCAATCAGGTAGGCTCTTGAGATGCTCATTCTCTGTCTTAAAGAGAGAGCTGCTTCCATTTGATTGGGCTATGACCCTGATGACCCAATTCAAAAAAAAAAGACAGTCGACAAGACCTGACACAAAATCAACTCAGATGCTGCAAGCTCGGATAGGAATGCTCCAGGCATCCCCTCAGGTTGTAAGCCTTCAATCTAAGAAAGTACTTGAAAATTTGTGTCCGAGTGACTGTTTTCTTTGCTCCTCTTGGACATATTGCATCAAAGCTGGCAGTCCTTAATTATCTAGAAGCAGCAGAGAAACACGGTCAAAATAACACCTAAATGAGAGCTCTCAATTCTCCGCAGTCAGTCTGAGATGCACATTTTGCATATGCAACTTCTTGAACATGTCAGACAGCAAACTCTACATCATAGACTGATGAGCGGAAAGTCAGAGAAGCCTTGCCCTGCACAGTAACAGGAAGTGAAGAGCACCCCACCCAGGATACATGCTAAGCAGACCGTATGCTACTTCTTCTCGACAGGATTTCTTGCCCGCGAAAGTATCTGTGGAATACTTCTGGACTGCTGCCAATACTTTGTTGCATTGCAACTATGAGTTGGAGTCTCACCCAAATATAACAGGAGCAGCAACGTCCACTTTGAAGCTCCCGTCTGGCTCACCAGCACACCCTTCACAATCTTCCGTATCATCGTCATTTTCGCTGCAAAGGACTAAGTAAAAAGTGGAAGTCCTACTAGAGTGGTTGCAAGCTCTTCCAAACGGAGGCGGTGTAGTTGTTCAGAGGAGCTCAGCTTTGTGAGGTGACGGCTGTTGAGGTGACACGAGCTCACTGACAAAGGAGTGCTTGACCACTCAGCTAGGCCCTAGTTTTTGGAGCTCAGAAACCAGTCCGAACATTTCCCCTTGGATGGATGTGGACCCGATGACACAACTTGATACATGCCAGAACAATCGCGTTCACGTATCCCGAACGGCACCCCACACGCACGCGAAGGGGCAAAACCACATTCCCGCACTAGCATCGTAGGGAGTGGCGTTACACCAAAACGAGGAAGACTCGTTGGCCCTTTGTACGTTGCACGCCACGTACCGCTCAGCCGTCAGCATCGCTGTAAATCTGCGATTCCGACCCCTAGAGTACCGTACTTGGTTGTTTGCCGACTGGACTTCCGACTAGGAAGCTACATTCGGGTGAAACGACACCATCAATCCGGACCCGTACAACCAAACCAGAAGCAGCCGATCAACAGGGGGGGTGGACGGCAGCTCCGGGCAGACTCGGGTTCCTATTCCATACCGTTAGCTCCAATGTGCCGGCATTTGTGTTTTTGATTTGGTGAGCGCTATTGGTGCCACGTGGAGCTCCTGTGTGCGCTCCGCTTGGCTGACGAATGCACAAATGTCTTCCCGGAAGTGTTGAAACGAAGACCGTACCGTAGTTTCGGTAAGGTCCTTTGCGACGCGACGCCTAGTATCTCAGCTCAGCCAATCACAGTATCCTAGGTTCAGCCAATCACAGTGTAAGAAATCATCTGACCGTTCGATCAAGTATCGACGACCCCCGTGGAAGATTCTGCCTGTCAACACATTTCGTTCATCACAGTTCCCGGGTGATGATGTCGACACTTTTTTTAAACTCCGGTACATACCTCTGGTGCGTTGAACAACGTTCGGCACCCCGAGCTGCAGCACCGGGACTACGGCACACCGACAAACGGAAGGGGAACCCCTCGCACCTTACGTACGGATCAAAGGATTGAACACACGATTTTTCTGTCGAAAACGAGCCTGCGGAGATAGTTCAGTCAGCGCGTTACCGTACCACGGTCGTTTCACACCGATCTCTTTTCTTTAGGGTTAAAAAATAATAATCTAGGGTGTGAATTGTGAAAAACAGAATTGACTCCACGGTGTCCTTGCCAACTACCCTCAGGGCCCCAATTAATGTGAAATGGCAATCGAGAGTACCTAGAACTAATTTGTACGGTTCGAAATGCAAACGAAAATGGTCTAAACTCGATTACCGTATTTCGCACCTGGTGGTGTGAAATGACCGCGGCGGTATGGTATCTAAGAGCATGTGTCTCGGTGGCTCCCTCAATACCGTAGTGACCAATACGGTCCTGTTTTCAGGCCTCTTCTGTGCGGATAAAGAGTAGATCCTTCATGAACTCAGCTGCTGACACTGATCCTTGGCAAGGGAGAATGGTTGCTGTTGGTCCTTCACAAATCAGGGATAGGTACCATACTGCTCTTCAGGAACACCGTACGCTCTTCACGCACACCAAGCGACACGGAGCGATAGCTGCGACGCCCAAGTTCCAGTAAACTACCAGTTTCTCTATCAAGGTCTTGTGCAGCAGTTTTCATGATGAAAACTCCGAAAGGCGCGCCGATGAGGCAAACAGGAGCTCCGAAGTGGACGCTGCTGCTCCTGCTCCTATGCTATGGTGAGGGTCAAGAATTTGCTAATTGCAATGCAGAAAGCACTGTCACCACGTACGAACCATCTGTATTTTGTAGAAGATACTTTGAGCGTTGTCAAAATAAATGTTGAGGGGTTTTCTCAGCAATGTCCTGGGTTGATGCTCTTCATCTTCTGTCACCGCGCAGGGTTATATAATTCTCACTCATCAGTCTCTGACGCAGAATTTGCAGTCGAACATGGTCAAAATGTCGCAAGGGCAATTTTTGTGTATCAAGCCCAAGTGATGCGAATAGAGGGTTTCTTTTAGGTGTCATTTGGACTGAGTCCCTATCAAAGATCAGGGTTGCCTTCTCATTGTAATGTTAGTTTCTGATCATAGCAAGTTCTACAGTCCTCAGGCACAGACCGTCAAATGTGTATCTAGCTCAAAGTTACGATTTGAGTGAACTACTTTGGATTGTACACACGCTTGCAGTCATTGGTCATTGGATGTGTAGTGCTGATTGTCATTTATGTGGTGGTCTGTAGAATTGGAAGATTTGCTTAATCTGAACATTTTCCTCCCCACCTATTCACGAACCTGCCATGGCCGGCTGATCATACACACCTAAGGGTTTACTGGAGGAGCCGCCACTTGTAGATTAGTTTGAAAGAATCTTGTGGTGCCGTGCAGCAGTGTGCCGGAGTGGATTCTGCCAGGCGCAAACTGATCTGGGACCTTCTCAAGTCGGGGACAGAGTGTTCCGGGAGGGCGTAGCAAGCCAAAGTATTCTCAACCTGACAGGTAAGTGTTGTCGCTTAGGTGCCCCCCGAGTCCTTCAGAACGTAGAATTACTTGGGGTAGAATTTCGTAAATTGGTCCATTTTAAGCTTTTTAGCCTACTGGCCTAATAGAACCTGCTAAGCACTATTCTTCTCACAGAAAACTTACACATTGGCACTCTTTGCTTGCCTCAAGATGCGCTGCACTTGCTGGATGACTGCACATGTCTATTATTGGTTCAGGCTTGAATTGAGGAGGTCATGTTCTCAATATGTAAACCCTACATGTGAAATTATAAGGCTTTAACTTCAACTGGGGCTGCTTGCAGTTCTGTCTTCCTTTCCATTGGTTGCCGAAGTAGGGCTCCAAAACCTGCAAACAAATGCTAATTAACGACATTATAATTCGATGTACGTTAGGCCCCCAGTCAGTCGCTCTGTGATTGAGGCAATATCCTTCATACACAGATCATCGTCCGGGAGGGCCTGGCATCAAAAATCTAGGACAAGGTTAGAATAGAAACACAATTGGCACCAAAAAAAACACCTGCAACTGCAAAAGCTTAAGATGCCTAAAACAGGGGTTTGTAAAGAACCTGGAGGCCGAATGCCAATTTGCAACCTTGGGTTCCGAAGTCCTTAATAAGCTGTTCCAATTAATCGCAGTCCTTTCATGTCTTTCCCCTTTCCTCATTGCAGAGTTTATGTCGGCACACCACATCCAAGGCCGGGAACTGGTCACTACCTACACCTGCACGAGTGCTCCTTCGGGGTATTGCCCCCAGAATCTCTACACCGGATGCTGCTCTACATCAGGATCCACTTGCTTAGGCATTGTGCTCAAGAAGAGCTGCAACCTCGGAGGGGTGCCCTGCCCAGACAGGCTGCCCGTTTTCTCCTGTTGCACCAGCTTCTCACAGTACTACTTCTGTCCCGCCGGTTCCAGTGGCCCTCTATGCCAAGCACCGGGCCCGGGCTCCTCCTCCACGTACTACTCAACCTGCAGCAGCCCCAGCCCGTACGGCGCCTGCTGCCAACCAGATACTAGCACATGTACTGTTGGACCATATGCCAATGTGGTCGGCACTTGCTCTTGTCCCAGTTCTAGCCCCATAGGGTCGTGCTGCAACGACTACCTCGTCAACACTGCGAGCAGCTGTGCTACACCGCCAGCATATACGACCCCGGCCATCACGCCTACGCCCCCTGCCCCAACGCCTAGGCCTCCTGCCCCAACCCTGGCGCCCCCTGCCCCCACGCCTGCGCCTCCTGCCCCAACCCTGGCGCCCCCTGCCCCAACGCCTGCGCCTCCTGCCCCAACCCTGGCGCCCCCTGCCCCAACGCCTGCGCCTCCTGCCCCAACCCTGGCGCCCCCGGCCCCAACGCCTGCGGCCCCTTCCCCTACGCCGGTGCCCCCCGTCCTAACATCTGCACAAACTTCTAGCAGTAGCGCGCTCTCCACCCCTGCCGTCCCGTCGCCCCCAGTTGCTATTTCAGCTTCTGCCTTACGTATTATGTCTTCAAAGGTCGTTACTGGAGCATTTTTGGCTGGTGTTCTCGGCTGGATGCTCTTCTGATACGATTGACTCAACAGGGTATATGCTAGACAATTCTCTGCGGATAAAGCATTGCCTGAATGCTTTCTTCCCTTCGACACCAATTGCACTAGCAGCACTGATGAGTGTCCAGCTGCAGCTAGGGTTCACTCTGCTGTTTGCTGGAAAAAAGACCTTTCTTTTATTGAACGTATCATTGACCTTCGTTAATGGCAATAGCGGTGAGAAGAGAATCAATTTGATGGAACGAACTGTTGTGCATTTGCATTCGGATCTAATATATGCTCAAATACCGCCACCCCATCTTCAAAAGGGGTAGAAGATAATATTGCCTCCCGCAAATCCATCAGTTTTTGTGTTTATATTACCAGACTTCGTAGAATGCAACGACAAAAAGCACATGTCGGCTTCTTACGTTGGTAGATGCGGTTTTATATTCGTGGTCGTTATTAATAGTTCTTTTGAAAGTGCTTAGCCGCACATACTTCAGAAAAAATCTTTACTACTACCTACATTATGTTATTATTGTTCTTATCATTATTATTCGGTGAATCGCCGCCAATACAAAAGCAATGCTGCGCTACCGTGATTAACAAACATGCAATACACCCAACCTTTCGTCCGGAGAAATGAAACCCTCCCCTTGCCGTAAAGAATGTGAGAATTTTGCCAGCCCCTTCTACGGAGCCAATAGCTAGGGTCGGTCAGCAGACTTCGCACCGCTCGATAATGGCAACATCGAATTCATCATCAATATATCAAGTAGCCTGAAAACCGCATGAACGATTATCTATGCTGTGAACTGGAAATCATATTAGATAGGAATATTATTATATTAGATTGTAATCCCTTTGCTGCAGCAAGGCAACTTTTCTCTCAAACGCATCCTTGCATTCATAGTGGCGTTCATCCGATGAACCTGTCCTACTACCAAGCCAGGTGTGCTGCGCCACATGTCCTTGCCCGGCAGCTTTCGCGTACAACCCAGTCGCGCGCACCTTGCCCTTTTCCACGCCGATCCACAAGCATAAGACTGGCCCATGTTCCACTGCACCGCCGCAAGGCCTTGATTGGCAGTGTCTGCGTACAACTGTCGTGCCGTCATATGTACATCTCACTCCTCGCAAGCCCGAGGTATAAAGATTGAGAGGTTGTGCAAATGAAGGAAGCCCTACATGTTTAGTAGCTCAATGTGCCCAACGCGCCGCTGCTGCTAGCACGCATGCTGATGTCACAAAAGGGGGTTGCAAAGGAGTCCTGCACGAGTGCTCTGTAAGCTGAGATGCGCTAGCGCCAAGAATGCTCTCCAAATAGCTACTTACAAAAGGTGTTCAAGGAGAGGGAAGGAGGCAACATTTAGCAAATGGGGTCGATGCTACCTGAAGTCTTGCCCGCTCCTCGACACCTAGAGTAAACGCTACCATGTGACACTAAGGTCGGAATAAAACATGACTGGATACGCTGAATATGGACGCTCTAATTAACGATCTGAACCGTTGCCGGGATGAGATCGAGGCATGATATTCTACGTTGCTGAGTCGACATGAACGCTATGGCCAATCATGATGTGAATAGGCACTCAGTCTGAAATGTAAGTATGATCTATTGTAACAAAGTAATCTAAGCCGTCCAAGGGGGCGTCGACGCTCAAATCTATGGTCGAACTGGCGCTACTAGCTGGATCGCAAATCTCTATGCGCTCGTCACACCGATGAAATCGCTATGAATGGAGAAGTGGCCCAAGTGGCACAGGCAACGTGGCCATGAGGCCTAGCAACTACAATGACGCTAGTATGCATCAAATGCACAGCCCTAACGTGGCGCTGATGTATGCTCAAGGCTGTGCTGCGACGATCATCCGTGGCATGACACAGCTCGGCGGCGCGCACCTCGTCCTTCTCCACGCCATTGCCGCTGTAGTGGCACACACCCAGGTTGAATTGCGCCCTCGCGTCATCCTGCGCTGCTGCCCATAAGTATTGACAGGCACCCTGCAGCGCCTCGCACCCGCTCAGGTCCAGGCTCGTCATCCCCGTCAGCCGCCGGACCGACTCCGGCAGGCTCCGCAGCGCCAGGCACAAGCTCAGGTCCAGGCTCGTCATCCCCGTCAGCTGCCCGACCCACTCTGGCAAGCTCTGGAATGAACTCCTATCTGAAATCAGACCGAAAAGGGAATACAAATCCAGGGTCCTGAGCGGCAACAATTGCTTCATGAGCCCTGTCAGCGCCCCGACCGACTCCGGCAGGCTCGTCAGCGCCCTGCACCGGCTCAGGTCCAGGCTCGTCAGCCCCGTCAGCTGCCCGACCGATTCCGGCAGGCTCGCCAGCGCCGCGCACCCGCTCAGGTCCGGCTCGTGAGCACCATCAGCCCCCCGATCCACTCC